GTTTCAAGTTTCGAACTCTGTGTTTTGGCTGATATGTGTCAGTGGTGGATGAAACAAGCCTTCTTAGAAAGTTGGCCATATCCGTTGCGGGATGTCTGTTTGTTTTTGATTGTGACTCTACTGTAGAGCGTATTGTGCACTGTACAGCAACAGAAGCAGTGATTAGTTTTTAGTGGATAGTGCCACACCACTTCAAAAGACAATGTCAACGTGCCCACTTATCTTCAGTGACCGGAATCGAGGCAACCTCGAGCACTATCTTAAGGTGCCTATTTGTGTTTGGTCACAGTTTTGATAAATACAACTAACCAACAATCACCAGCTTTCTTCCTTTCTTTTCTTCTAAAACTACTATTTCTTTTGCTGTTTCCTCCTCACTTCCACAGAGCAGTTAAGAATAAACGGTCTGTTCTATTATCAAAGTTCTGTGTCCACCACAGCTGTTATCAACACCGGGCCAATCCAGGCGTCAGCTGGAAAAAGTGCAAAAGGAAAACATACATTTAATCTTGTTCTAAGGTTAAATGGACTGTTTCAGTCAGCTGAAGGACGTGCGCTCTGGAGGAATAGTTGCGCTAGTGTCCTGTTGGCGTCGGTGCTTGCCTCCTAATTGACAAACGCCACATTTGCCGGTTAGACGAGACAACAAAGATGTTGATGTATTGGCCGATGTATTTCCAGCATTGGCCACAGACTGACTGGAGAGGAGCCTGTGACGCCAGGACGACTGGACGACTGCACGGCTGGTGGCCACCAATTGAGGCGACCCGCTCTTCGTATCTTTGTTCAGCAGACGCCACAGCAGCACTCACTGGCAGCTGTCTTGGGCTGCCAGTGAGCCGACGAAAAACGTAGCAATCGATTCGCCTTACGCAACACCGTCACCAGCAAAGTGTCGCTTTACCAGAGCTGCAAATGTGACTGCAGTAGAATCTCAGCAGATAAGTAGGAAGTGACTGGTTTTTCAGTGCTCCCAAAATACTGTTCATTTTCTTTTTCTGATTATGCTTATCACTTCTGTCATCATCATCTGGGCTACAAGTAGAGCATTTTAAATTGATATTATTTGTTGTTGTGAAAATATTTCTTTTGCTCACAAGCTAATTAGAAAAACAAGAATTATTTTAATATTACTGTGCATATGTCTTGCAAAATTGATAAGTACAAAAATGATTTAACTAAAAAGATATTCAAAATGTATAATTTTTGGTATGCGCGTGCTTTAAAGTCAGATTTTTGTGCTAAACTAACACTGTCCAAAATGGACACTTTCAAAAAGATAAATCTGTCTAGACAAACTGGCTTGAATGACACTGTTGTTCAAATTCTCTCAATCTCTCGACTTGTCCAAGACAGTAGTAAAGTTTCGGTCAAGTAACTGCTTTTGCGCAAGAACTGAAGAGTTCCAGCCAACAGTAGTTCAATCGACGCCTCTTCATTAAGCGACCTAATGGCCGTCTGGCAGTTTGTTTGTGAACTCAAGAAGTGACTACAAATTAAAACGTGATAGAGTCACAAAATTTGACAAGTGGCATTATTAGTACTGCAAAATGTCGTACGGACAAACATGTCTCTACGTGTGTGAGTGTTTGTGTGTGGGGCACACTCTTGGGCGACAGTTTCAAATCGAAAAGTGGCCGCTTTCGCAAACACTGGCAAGTGGCCCGAACCGAGGAAGACTGTACGAGCAGTACGGCAAAACGGTGTACAGAGAAGACTGTTCAATTGCCGGTGACTGAGACTGCCAGGCAAAGGCAGAGGTAATCAGGAGATAGTTGTCGTTGCTGTGCACCAGCAGACTCGCTGCCAATTAGGCAGATCTACCTAAAGGGAAAGCAGTTAATTGGCAGAAAAAGATGAAAAGCGAACAGAGGATGAATCTTCTAAAGACAACTAAAAGTTGCAACGTGCTTTTTGTTTTCCTTCAAGTCACATACAACGATCTTTAGCAAAGTTCATAGCAAGTTAAATGATTAGCTGTCCTGGCAATCAATTTGATTGCCATTTTGTGTTTTCGCTTCATTTCCACAATTAACGGTGATCATCATCAGTGTACCAGACTCTTGTTGAAGATGATTGCACATGTTCAAGGAAACATATACCTGATTCAGACTTCCTCGAACTCAATCATTTAGAACAGTCAATCGACCGTCATAAATAGACTCACTTTATTTTGTGTAAGAGACCAAGTCACATGGAGTTGTTAGTAAGCTTTAACTTCACAAAAATCTTGTAAAATAACAATTTCAAACAGTTGTCTTCTTGTGGATTATTTGATTATTTGATCTATGAAGTACTAGTGCTAATGAAGTAATTAGAACATGTAAAGTGGCAATGCTTTTGTAGTCAGTGCTTTCCTAGTTTGTTGATGTTGTGCTGCGACAGTGCCACAAATCATTTGCCGGTGACATTTCGAATGATGCGCACGAAAGCATGTTTAGCATCAGAACACTGCTTCTCAAACAGTTTCTTGCAGAAAGGCACAATCTAAGCAACAAGGCAGCTTTTTACGACAAAAACTCTCTTCTGGTACAAACAGCTTAAGCGAGGCCACTCTCTACTGCCGTCAATTGCTCATCTTGTGTTCGCTAAACAAACACGCTGAGTTTTTCCTTTTCTTTTATACATATCTGCAGAAAAACAGTCCAAACACAAGCACACAAAAGGCACGAAATTCGTCCGACGCCCAAGCGGCAATACCAGATGCCACTGTTAAAGACACCAGTGTCAGTTTAAGAGTACCGAACAGTAGTTTGCTTCTTCCTACGAAGCAGGCAAACAAATTTGTTTTTGCAATGCACTTGATTACCTCATTTGGTGTCTTTGCAATAGCTTGTTTTCTGACTTTATACTTGTGTCAATGTGACACAGAGCCAAAAGACACCAAACTAACCAGCTAACTAACCAAGAAAATGGTCACAGTAGGCACGTGCTTGTTCAGTGCACTTCTCTGATGGCCCTGTTGACACAGGCACTGGTGCAGATGATGTTTCCGATCCTTCGTGGTGTGCACCACAGAGGATTCGACAGTGCTGAGAATGAACAGTGCGTGCCTGCAGGAAGAGAAGCAAGAACATGGAAAGAAAAGACAACCACTTGTTAGCACAGTGGACGATTAGTTAGTAAAAAGGAGAGGGAGAGAAAAAGAGGAAGAGAAGCAATTTGGGCAATGGGACATCTGGGCAAGGATGCCACTTGTGCTATTGCTGCTACTGTTGTTACTTGCAAACGGCCTCGTCGACAAAGTGCCACACATGTTGATACGAGTAGACAAACAGTGATGATCACCGATCAGTGCTCTGCTCATTGATGGAAAACTCAAAAAGAGCACTCAGAAAGAGGCAGGAGAATGAGCATAACTTTTGTCGTGGCAAAACACCTACCAGTGCGAATGACAGTGATTGCACTTAAAGATGCAAAAGAAAGCATGCTAAGATAGTGGAACTACAACAATGGAAACACAAGTAGAAAAAGAGTGCTGATAAGACAACCACCCTTGTGCTGCCATTGTTTGTCGAGTGCCAGAGACTGTGCCACGACACTGCTCACATTAGCTCTCGGAGTGAGGTAAACACCAGAGCTGACCTGACGGCAGTGAACACCGATAATTAGCAATGACACTGGCCGACGGCAAGAAGGTGCTGCTGTTGGTAGTAGCAGCACACTTCAGTGATTAGATTAGAAAATGGGCAAATCAGTGCTACTTCAAGTAGCACTTTCCGCTTTTTAGAGGATCCACTTTCATTCACAACAATCGATGCGTTTTTTGCTACTGATTTAGAAAGGTTTCTCAAACTTAGCTTAGCAACAAATAGTGTAGCTTTATTTGAATTGAAGAAATAAATAGTTGACAAGCCATTGAGGATTTTGATTAACGAAAATGATGCAATTAATGTTGGTATGCTTGTTCAGTTAAGATTACAAATTATTTAAAATGAGTGCTAGTTAAGACTAATAATTAGCTTAATGTATAAAGTGATAAATTAAACGTAAAAAGAATGCTAAACAGATAAATAAATATATTCAGATTGACTGGAAAATGGTGCAACAAGGTTTTGTACAGTGGAAAATGGGAAAGGGCATGACTGGAAGGTGGTGGTGTATGTGTGCGTGTCTGTTCAAATGATAGAGTAATAAATAGTCATAATAAATAGGTACTTGTAATTGCCAATAAATAGTAGATAATAGATTATATAATCATATCCTTGGCTGAAGAACAATGGAGTAAACAAATGAGAAAGATGATAAGTTTGGTGGTGATGTACGCAAACAAGCGCCTGGTGGTCGTCGTGGTTGGTGGTGGTGGTGGACGTTGATACGCAAGAGGAGAGGAGAAGTGGAATGTGCGAAAGTATGGTTTTGTTCGAATTGCAGATTAAAGTACTATGCGGTGATATGTGTCGGTGTCAATTTCAGTGTTTGTGTATGCGTAGGTGAAAGTGCGCGTGTGCTGTGTGGGAGTGTGCAGTGGGTGATGGTGGTCGAGCTGACCAAAATTTACAAAAGAGGGGGTGTGTTTAGGGGCGGAAGAGAGAGAGAGAGAGAGAGAAAAAAGAGAAAGAACTTGGTCAAGTAGAAAAAGAACAAAGAGACCAGCCAAGTTGGTGTTGAGCGGACTAGTCTTGGTACACTCATCGCTTGCTTTAAAGAGGAAAAACTGAGGGACTTAGAGTTTAGAATGAGAAAATGACTGAAAGTAGGGTGATAAAACACCAAATGATCAGGAGAAGAAGAGGGTGAGACTAGCTGAGAGGTGAGAGTGAGGTGATGAGACACTGCTTTGGCTCCAGAAAGTGTGCGCCAGGTGTTGTGCGTGTTGTCGAAGAGAACAGCACTGAGAACAGAGAATTGCTTTTCGATAGAAAATCACCAATTCGACGTCAGGGGAAGCATCGGCAAAGTAACAGACTGAGAGAGACTGTCACATTGTCAGTGTCAATGACTGGATTCAGTAGATGATGAGGGGGATGATGATGAAAATGCCAAAAGTGGCATATGACTTACTCCAATTGTTCCATAAAGTTGGGGTTCTTGAAGTACTCGGGTACGTTGTCATCAAGACGAGCAATCACCTTGTAGATGGACTTCTTCCAAGACTGTTCGTTGTCTTTGTTCTGCTGCAGAGAGCGGTAAAACTCACGCAGTGTTGTCTCACAGACGCCGCGAAAGTTCTCAGGAATCTTTATGGTGAATGAAAGAGTACGCAAAAAAGTCAGGCAATGATTAAAAGTCATGTTCGTATTTAGTGGTAAAGTTATGCAAAAGTTTGATGAAAACAAATAAACAGCAAATTAACTTACGCTAATATGATTGCTTCGGTTGTAGTGGAGGTTGAGGACGCGAATCAGCTCGCAGTCATCGGTGACGCTGAGATCTTCGGCACTCTTGATGCCCTCACTAAGCGCCTGTCGGGCATACTTTTCCATTTGAATGTAGTAAAACTCGCTGTCAAGACAGAAGAACATAATTATTAATCGTCAGTAAAAGAAGAGTAAACTACTCTAAACTACAAATTGCATCGTAAAAGTGAGTGAAACAGTCGTAAAGCAAACGGCACATCGTCGTAGAGGAAGGAAAGTGCTCAAAGAGGGAAAGATGCGGCAAAGGGTAAGGCAGAGAGAGAGAGAGAGAGGATTGGCGGACGGTGTACTTTAGATGAGCAAGGTGTGCACCGTCTGCCTGGTGGCCGGCCACCGTCGACCACCACCTTGCGCATTTGTCCTCGACACACTTCCGCTGGAGACAGTAGCATCAGTTCATAAGGAAAGAGCACTTGGCTCGCTCAGACACAGTTCCAAGTTAAGACGTCGGGCAAGGAAGCGACTGGGCACAAGGTAAGTCCTTCACGACAATGACAACGTAGAGAGGGAGAGGGAAAGACGGTGGCTAGACAAAGCACCGAGAAATGCGACGCGAAGGCATTAGGGCGAGACAAGGGCAAAGCAAGGCTGCTGCTGCTGCCGATTGAGTCAAGTCGCGTCTTGAGGTCAGGGGCCAGGTGGGGGTTCGAACTAGCCAAAGGGAAGTGTCGCGTGAATGCTGCTCTCTCTCTCCTTCCAGACTGGGCGAGAGCAGCATTTGCGCGCCCTGCATCTTGTTGTCGACTGTCTACCAAACAACAACTTCAGTCAGAGCGGAAACTAAAGGTAAAGCTCGGTTTGGCACATACTACTGGTGCAAAGCGTCTCTGGTCAAAGGTGGGAAAGGTCACCTGGCAGCAGCTGAAGATGTGCTCTGCCTCACACTTTGGTGGAGGAGTCACAACACGGCGCTTTCAGAACAACACTGCAAGATCAGATGACAATTCAAGTAAAGTCGCTGAGGCAACTTACAGCTTCCCCCTTGACGACACACACACACACACTCTCTCTTTTCACTCTCCTCATTTCTCCACGACACTCTTTTTCTACCAGGCAAATCAAACAAACGTCAACGATGCTTAAGCTCAAGCAGAAAAAATGACATTTGTCAGAGCTGAGCAACCGAGAAGGAGCGCACACAAAGTTCTCCGCGTCGTTAGCATTTGCCAGCTACCATCATCGGGAACTGGCATCGACCGTTGCCCCATTGTTCAACTCTTTTCTTAGCGCTCTCTTTCTCTCTCCTAAGATGAATGAACCTTTCACCTTAGAGATGACCTCTGTGTGAGACTCTTAAGACTCAGTGCCAGCACTGTCGCTGAGCCTCCAGTCATCGGTCACCGCACTGCACGTGAACTCTAGCGCGCAAATGGTGAGAGCCGCTGATCAGCAGGCAGCAGCAAGCAGTCAGAAAAGCAAAGGCAAAGAAGTGTGCTTCAAAAATGGCCATGTGGTCGTGCACACTATTGTCATGAGAAAAAGTCTGTTAACCCTTCTCTGACTTGACTTGTAGCTGGCAAAAACGGGAATTTCGGGAAAAAAGGAAAGCAGTTTTGTGACCACAAAATGGTGATTGAAGCTGGCGGTCTCCAAACAGAATTCCCCGAATTGTAATCGTCTGTGCGAACAAAAGACGCATTAGCTGATTCTTAGGAAGGACAACTGCCACACTGTCTGCTTTACACATTCGCCCAACTGAGACGGGCAAGTTTAGTTGCGCGTGCAATGGAGAATCGAACACACAAAAAAGTGAAGCAACATCCAAAGCAGCCAGGGCAATAAATAAGAAAGACAAACGATTAAGGAACGAGCACGGAGGATGGGGAGAGAAAGCTAACGGTCGAGACAGAGGAGCAGATCAGAACGGAGCGCACGCCCGACCTCGATCAGACGGCACTGAAATCGGGTGCTGAGAACAATTGCTGTTTGCTCTCTCACTCTCTCCTGCTACGTCTGAGACACAAAAGAGTGCAGCCGTAATTGGCCACTGCCGACTTATCGTCGTCTCCTTCGACGTTGCACTACTGAAACTTTTCGCCGACTTTTCGTAGGGTGAAAGATGCAGCCTGCCGCCTGACACTGCTCGATGAGTCATTTGAGTGGCGCTCTTCCAGACTGGCTGAAAACACCCACTAAAGCGGCAGACATGCGCACCGTCGACTCACCCCCGCTTGGCGAGGCGTTTGGATCCTTCTCGGCTGGCTGGCTGCGCGCGTGCAAAGAGAGAGAGAGAGAGAGAGAGAGAGAGAGAGTAGCAGTGGATCCAGGCGCACTGCCACTGCCAGTTTGACCTCGACCGCAATATGGTCTCGCTCGCGTGCTCACTCGCATTCTACTCTTGCCGCGCACTGTGGATGCTGGAACCCGAGACGGGCAGACAATGACTTAGCTCATTCTCGGTAAACACCTGGCCCGACGACACTGCTCGCCGCCGCTGCTGCTGCTGCTGTTCCATTCTGCACCACCACCACTGACAGACCCGATCCAGAAGGGAGACAACAGCAGAAAGGAGATGAAGGAGGAGGAGGACAAGTCACTGATGCAGCAAGCAGTGTTGGCAGTGAACGCAAGCGGCATGTCAGAATCGGTCATTTAGCTGCACTACAAATCCTATCAATTACCACTAATGGACACTTGGCCAGCGCGACCACTGTCACTGTTTGACCATTCTGCGCCAGAAGGGTACGACAGCGGGCCAGACAGTGCTCCAGTAGTGCTCATCGTCTGACAATTGGCAATGACATTAATCAAGATTGCTCAGAGGCGCAAGCAATTGCCTGGGAAATCTAGTTTCTCAATGATAATACACACGTGCAATAATACTATCTACTGACTGGCCAATAGCTAAAAGTGAACAAAGTTGCACTTACCGGAAATTGGAAAACCATTTGACCAGTTGAGCGGTGTTGTTCTTGTTGAACTTGATGTCCGGGAAGAACGTCTTCAGGGTAGATGAACTCGGGTAGCGAACGTAGAAGAACATCAGCTTAGCCTTGCGCAAGTGCATCGGCGACAGAGTGCTAGTGTGCAAAGAAGTTAAGGAGCAATAATCGATCTGAGAGTGGTCAGTGTTTGGGCTTAAAGAGGAAGGCGCGCTAGGGACACTAGGGGCAAAGGGAAGGTAATGGGCAGAGGAAGAAGGGAGCGAGGGTGCTAAGCGCAAATTAGAGCTTTGTGAAAAGGATATCATTGGCATGGACGGGTCGTAGATAGATTGCGTGTCGTTTGTTTCCGAGCCATCGCCACCGTTCTCCGAGCCAGTGACACTGCCCCGGCCAAAGCTGGTCAGCAAGGAGGCTGGGTAGCCGTTGAGGGAGTCTGGCGAGGCTCGGCTGGCGGCCAGCAACTGCAGGTGATGGGCGGCGGCGGCCTGCACTACAGCATTGGCCACGGGGTTGGAAGCAGAGGGAACGCCGGAGACGCCGTTGGGCATGTTGGGCTTCAAGTCGGCCTCCTCGATACCATTGGCGAAGAGACTGCTCAGGCGCGATTGATCAGCAAAAGGGAAGGGAGTTGCACCGGTGTCGAAGAAGTCCACGTGCTGCAGACCGGCCAGTGAGGCGACGCCGCCCAGGGCGGAGGCGTTGAAGGGCATCGAAGACATCGGAGGAGAGACGGAAGAGCGGTCATCATCGCGGCCGAGCCGATTGCCCGGGCGAGGGGTCAATCGCGAGTCGGTCACCTTGTTGCGTCTCTTCTTGGGCGCCACCACCAGCGACAGTGCCTCACTCTGCTCGGGCAGAACTGGCGAAGCATTGTCACGACCATATGGTGAGTTGCTGTTGTTGTTGCCGTTGCTGCCGAGGCCGTTGTTGTTGATGTTGTTATTGTTGTTGGTGTTGTTGTTGTTGTTTAGTGGAGCACCTTCACGAAGGCCGTTCAGCAGGAGGCCATTGCTGTTGACGCTGTTTGAGTACGCGGCGGCAACGTTCTGAGAACTGTAAAAGGGCTGCTTCCCATAGAGGCCACCGGGGAGGGAAGTGGGCGGATAGCCGAAGGTCTTTGGAGCAGTGGAGGCTTCGCTGGGCAGAGCAAAGGGACTACCGTCTCGGCCCAAGTTCTTGGCGCCATTGTTGAGTGAGATGGCTTTGGCGGGAGCACTTCTCACCGATTGACTGCGCGGGTACTTTGAGTCGAGCATCTGGGCGAGCAGCTCATTGCCTCGACTTTCTCTTGAATGCGACTGAAACTCGGGTCGAGCACTGTCTTCGAAAAATTTGCGAAAAGCACCATCAATGATGCGCCCAATGTCACTGATAATCTGTCCCTTCAGCGACTCGATCAGACTGTCCATTTCGGCGAATTGGGAGGCGGTTCCTGAGCGAGACGTGGGCGCGCGGTCCCTCTCATCGACCAGATTATCACAGTCAGCAGCACCGTGGGCAATGTTGACTGGACTAGTTCTAGCGTAGTTCTGACTGGAGCCATTTGAGCTGCTGAGCACTCTCTGAGACTGAACCTGCTGCTGCTGGGCGTACAGCTGCTGAAGAGCGATCTTGGCCTGCATGCCGTACAGCTGGGATTGCAAATTGTGGGACAATTTGTACTCACGTTCAAAGTCGGAAAGACGAGCTCGCTTGGTTGGCAGGTGCTCACTGCGAGTGCTGTGATGGCGTGTTGGCATCGTCGGAGGGGTAGCCTGCTCCATCTCCTTGGGCAGATCGGCTTGAGCTGGACTGACGTGGCGGCGACGGTCAATTTCCATGTTGGCATCAAAGCCTTCATCCAGTTCAGCCTCGACTCCCAGTTCTACCTTAGGAGTGATGACTTCCTCTTCGTCCATGTCGTCGTCTTCCGTGTCAAGACTGCCGTTCTGCAGTTTGCTGCTCTGCTGAGGCTGGTAGAGCTTACGTTTTTTGCACCCGTTCACGCCCTGGGCTTGATGACTTGGCTTCGCCAGGCTCGAGTCACTTTCGCCGTCGTAGCTTTTTGGTGGGCTGAGGACGTGGTTGGTGGGGCTGCTAGGCGTAGTGGCGCCGGTGGAGACGCCGTTTGAGTTGGTCATGAGGAGCATGTTGGAGAAGATGTCCTCAACACGAACACCTTTGGAGTGTGCAGTCGGCGAGGTGCTGCGAGCGAATGACGCTGTCTCGGCAGCAGCAGAGACAGAAGCAGTGGCAAGTCGATCCTCGTCGTCTACTTGGTCGTCTGCAGAAGCAAAGTCAGTCGTAGGTAGAAGTGCAGTGTTTGAGAGAGAGTCGTAGTGAGAGTTGTCGCTTTGCGCAAGCTGGGTCGTCGCACTGGCGCTCGTCGTCGCTGGCTGCTGATCTGCACTCTTGGCGATCTTGGCGGTGAATGAGGCTGAGGAAGACGTCTCATCGCCTAAAGAAGTGCCACCATCAGCGGAGGAGGTGGAACCCGAGGCGAGCGTGCTGTACGCTGTCGGCGACTTAGCCCGCCGCTGGCTCAGCGCAGGCGAAGGTCTGCCTCTGCCCCGTTGCTCCTCCTTTGCCGAGTTTCCGTCCCGCGCGGCAGCTGTCTTGGCCACTTCCTCGCTGGCCATCTCCGTCGCCTCTTTGCCGCTGCCACAATCGCTTCCACTCGGTCGTATCGTTTCCTTAGCTTCGTCTCCTTTCACGTCCTCCTCCACTCGCTCCTGCTCACCGTCACCGTCCATGTATCCCACTTTGCCTTCCTTGGCCTTCACTCTGCTATCGCTCTCCTGCTGCTGCTGCTGTTGCTGTTGCTGCGGCTGCGATGACGACTGCTGGTGGTTGCGTTGTAGCTGCTGTTGCTGCTGCTTCTGCTTCTGCTGGTGGTTTTCCTCCACCAGACTACCACCACCACCACCACTGTGCTGTCTTTCCTCGTCGCCACTTTTTTCTTCGTCGTGTGCCCCATCTTCGCCAGGTGTCGCCAAGGAGTAGCGGTCCATTTCCGAGTCCCCCTTCAGCTGGGCGAACGGGTCAGCAAAGTCCATTGGGTCGGACTCAAGCTCGAGATCGGCAAACAGCTTCGAACTGGAGCGAGACTTTGATTTTGGAGAAAGGCTGTTCTTGCGCGCAGTCACTTCACCGACTACCGCCTGTTGCTGCTGCTGGCTGGTGTTGCCGTTACTGCTCTTCTCCAGTTCTCGACTACCAGATTCCAGAAGTTCTCTCAGCATCTGAGCTTGCATTGAGGTTGGGTTGAGAAGAGCAGCAGCTGCGGCCGATTCCATATTGAAATTATTCATCAAACTGGCTATCGACGCATCTGCCTGTAGCTGATTGAAAAATGCGTTCGCATTGCAGAGGACATTGTTCAGCGCTAACTGATCAGCTGGCATTGCACTAGGTCCCGGTGGTGTCGCCTTTGATTGCTGCTGCTGCTGTTGCGGCTGCGAGTACGTCCCTGCGTTCATCAGCGCGGCCATCTGGTTCTGGTACATCTGCATAAGAGCTGGATCGAGGATCATGTCAGGTCGGGAAGATGCGGCGGCTGCGGCGGCGGCCATTGCGGCAGCGTTGAAAGCCGAAGCCTCTCTCATTTGCTTGGAGGCAAAGACTTGCTCAGCCTGGTTAGATGGATGCGGCGGCGCGACGTTGGCCGTGTTTGCCTGCGAAGCCATTGCCAGTGAGTGCTGCTGGTGATGTTGCTGATGTTGGTGTAGGTGCTGGTGTTGATGTTGTTGATGCTGGTGCTGGTGCTGGTGCAGACTTCCAGCAACGCCGTTCGTCGCTGCCGAGCCGGCAACAGTGCTGTGGTGTGAGCTGCTGCTGTTGGAGCTGCTGCTGTGACTGGAGCCGAACTTGTGGCTGGGATGGTAGCCGTGGTATCCTCCGCGTGAGGAGAAGTTAGCAATACTGGCGTAACTGTTGCGCGGCTCACCAGCATCTACTCGCTGTCTTGTGCGTTTCACTTTGACGGGCTTCGACTGGCTGCTGGACGACGACGACGACTGGTGGTGGTGGTGGTGGTGCCCATGGCCACTTGAAGAGGAGAGATGCGGTATGGCGTGCATTGCACTGCTCGACTTGCTGCTTCGCGAAAAGTGATCCACCGTAGCACCTGAGGAGGACAGGAGGACTTCGCCTGCTGACGCTGCTCGATTCGCGTAGTTACCCGAGTGCTCTACGACGCCGCCGCTCTCGCTGGCGCCGCTAGATGAGGCGAAGTAGTTGCCCCCAGCAAATGCTCCTGCCGCTGCTGGCGGCGAAAAGTAGGCCGACGGGTGGTGATGCGGCGAGACGTTCGCTTTAAGGGCACTTCGGCTAGGACGGAGCCAGGGGAGATTCGTGCTGGCTGCCGCTGAGGAATGATGCTGCTGCTGCTGATGGCTCGTCGACGCCACACTGTGCCCTCCAGGCAAGGCGCCCTTTGAGTCGTGAGACGGAAAGGAGAAGGCCTGGTTCAGGTAGGAATCCGTGGCGGACGTTTGGCTGGGACTGGCGCTGGTGCAGCACAGTGCAGCGGCCACTGAGTCAGCGACCGAGGTAGGCGGATTAGGCTTCTTGCTGACAAACACTCTCCCAGCTGATGCGGATGGTGGTGACGCAAGAGGAACTGAGAAAGCGGGAGAAAACGACGGTGGCCAATGAGACGGGGAAAGTCGGCGACGTAGGCGCAGTGAGGGGAATCTGCTGAGAACACTGCCGCCAGTGGCGGACAAGTGGTTGGAATCTAAACAAAACAAAAGTGAAAAGAAAACAGATGAGAGTGGCAGTCTGCACCAATGTGATCGCATTCTTAGTAAGCGGGGTATTCAAGGCACAGTCATTCCTCTTACGTCATCAGACGATTTGGCGGCCGTGAGTGGCAGAGAGAAATCGAGGCAGTTTTCGTCTCTTTTTACGATCACTCTAACTCTCTCTCGTGAAAGAGCTCAAAGTTCAGTTAGAGTCGAATGAAGAAGGAGCGCACTGGCAGCAGTGGTAGAATGCTAAGCTGGCAGGTAAGCAATGAACGTGCCTCTACCAGTAAACTCTGGCTACATTTCAATTCTATCTAGTGGTGGACGCACGTGCCCACTGAGCATCGGTAGATTCGACCAGGTATAGTGTGACCCCTGCAATTACTGTTCTCCACAATTGACAAATTCGGTAAATGTCAGAGATGCAGTCTAAACGGGTTGCTAGGCTGCCGCGTTTTGCCTACTCCAACTTTTGGAAGAAGGCAATGAAGCGGTTCTGACTGTGCGTACAGCCTCTGTTCGCCAGCCAATTCCTAACTGTGCCGACCATTTGTCACTCAGCATCAACCACTCTGCAGCATCTCTCAAGCAGAACCAAAAGTTCCGGTGAAGGTGAGGGAGAGAGAGAGTGAGAGTGAGATAAGACATCAGGCCAAAGTTCCGTCATTCGCGACGACGCACAGGTAATTAGCATCAAGTAATGAGTTGAACTCCGCTAAGGTAGACAGTGGACATATGTCACTGCGAGTAATAAGATGCAGAGGCATCNGGTTCCGTCATTCGCGACGACGCACAGGTAATTAGCATCAAGTAATGAGTTGAACTCCGCTGAGGTAGACAGTGGACATATGTCACTGCGAGTAATAAGATGCAGAGGCATCTGCAGAAGTCTAGGTAGCGTAAGAGTGCGTTTTGTCGTGCGCCCAGTCTCTACTTCTCCACTGAACGCGATGCTCAGAGTGGAGTGTGGCAAAGGAGCTAAGGAGCTGCTGCTGCCAGGGAGGTGACAGATGCGCAGTGCCCAGTTGACCGTATCAAAGACTGTGTGCTCACCTCGCAAGACATTCGCACCCGCTGGCCTTTGTCTGTGGCCGCATAATAGAGATGGGGAACAGGAACAAGATGACTCAAATAGGAATCGGAACTAGCAATCATTGTCACTGGGCGTCGAACTGAATTGCCAAGTGCTAAGGTGCTCACGGCAATTCTTGAGACACTGAGGCAACTGTGCTTACACTGCAAACAAGTGAAAAACTGTGAAGCCAGTCACACCGTCTCCCAAACAACGTCTTCAGTGCTGCACTGTTGCTCGGGCACTCCTGACACCAGCGAAGCGTAGCCAAGAAAGCGACTAGAGAGCAGACTTTACCGGAACAGAAGTAAAGGTGACAGTAATGAGCGGATGGGAGGATGAAAGAAATGCAAAGATACAGTCAAAAGAAAAGGAAACTAATTGCAACTTGAGCAGGAGACGTCACTGTTCTAATGAGCTAGTCGAGCAAGGCTTGAGAAAAATAACTTGTGACAAACTAAAAAGGCGACTCGATTACCGATGTGCAAAAGTATTGCTCGAAAGTGAGTTCACTTGAACGAAGACGGAGAGCAAAGAGAAAGAGGGCGCCATCTAAGGCTTTCAACGGCCAATCTCCTCCTCTAACTGTACATCTACTGCGCACTAGACGTCATTCTTAGTGGGCGCCAAGTTGAAGAAATCTGGCTCTATAAACACAAGGCACATTCCTGGCACAGTGCACGGCCGGCAGTCTCTCTCTTTTCTCAATGCCTTCGATCCGAAGACAATCGCAGTCAATTAGCCTGGTGGTGAACGTAAAAAAAAGAACAAAACGCGCAAAAGTAATTTAAAAGAGGATCAGCGTCTCCAACTGGCCTGACCGAATCAAATATCCGGTCAAATTTAATTTTAATAATTCATGGCCTGGCTGCTGACTACCGACTACTACTGTCTCCTCTACTACTGTTTTTTAATTAGCCGGCCAGTGAGCAGTGTCCCTCTCAGCGGGTGTCGATGTGTCTCAGTAAACAGTGCATTTGGTAATATGATCAGCTGCAGTTCTGCATGGCATTAGATGAAATTAAAATAGCCATTAAACTTTAATCGAACGATTAGTGATGCGATCGCCCTAAACTCCTCAGTAGCTGCTACCAATACTCTAGCCACTGAACGGTAAGGAATGAGATGGCTAGAATTTAAAATTAAATGACACTGACTGTGCACATCCGATTTTGGCCGACCGAATTTGCCTATTGG